GGAGAATCATGATTTCCTGATTATATTTAAGTCAAAGTAAGTTATATCGGCATGTGAAACACATATGATGTGAAGTCACGAGTTTCACATGTCATAGGATCTTAAAGAGTAAGAGAGTGTTTAAGAGTGATTTAAATTGCTTATGTGTGATCCAGATATTCTACTTGGTCGGTGATGTTAAAAAGGACCCTGCCTATTAGGTGCTAATGAACAATTTTTAAGCAGAAAATAATATAATAAGCATTTCCACCTGGGATCTGCGTATCGGCTTTCTGTGCTCATTTCTTAACATGTTCAGCATTTGTTGTTCTTCCACTAAAACGGAACAAGTACTTAATTTTTTATAATAAGCATTTTTATCAAACTTGTAATATCTTACTTTCTAAACCAGTATTAGTTGTTTCAAATTGATCACATGCATTTAAAATTTAAGTAAATTTGTTTCAACAACCCAAAACATATACTAAGAAGCTGTTGCAGGCTAGCAAAATGACAATGTCAAATTGAGCTTAGTGCTGGTGAAAAACAGATGTCAATATGACTCCCTAATAATCCAAAACATTAGCAGACTGAGTTTTATGTTATAGTCACCATGACAAAAAACATCTTCACTTCTCTGTTGTTAAGAAATCCATGATACACTGCATGACTCTTTAATTACTTCTCAAGCAAAATCTGCCCCATCATTCAGTGTCACATTTTAGGTCAAATTAGAGCATTATTATTTAATACCATGATATGGCAATACCTAACCTTCACAACTCCAAAATGAGTATAGGTCTTTATATCCCATGAATGTTAGATTTACTCATGGAAGTTTTAAGCAAAAAAACCCATGATATGTATAATGATTTCTCAGGCACTAAAATGCTTTCAATACTGAGCAGAAATAACTGAAATAATAAAAATAACCATGTACCTAGAAATTATGACAAAACAAGATCTACCTGCATGGCCAGATTATTTCCAGCATGCTTCCCACCACTTATAACAGTGAACGCTGGGACAGGAAGAGTTGGGCTTGTTCTACCAGAAAGATCAGAGATATGTTTGTAGAGTGGAACCTGATATTTGTATTCTGTCAGAGTCTTCTAATGAAGGCATGCAAACTTCCAGCAAAACAATAAGAAAACTGTCAAAACTCCAAATTAATGGAAGAACAAACTCATGCCTCCTTTTCAGCAGCCCCAGCCTTGCATGCAGCAATTGAGACGGCTAATATAGCATTTGCTCCAAGTTCACCCTGTAAGCAGAAGGTGATTTAGAAAAGAGAGAAGTAGTGCCTCATGAGGTGTGAATATGTGAACAACTATAAAGACAGACAAAAACCATTAAACCAGCCATTACAGAAAAAGTATTATTCAATATGAAAGCACCAAGAATCATCCAAAAGAAAAGAAATTCACCCAGATGAGTTAGCAAAACAAAGAAAAGTATTCAAATGTACAGACTAGATCAGGGAAATTTTCCCTTTCCAAATTGAGTAAGTAGCTATGGACACTTTTAGATTTTCATTAACATGAGTAAATAGCTAGCAAATTTGTTGGAATAACCCAACAGGCTTTGTTAACAAAACTGTGCAAATGAAGATGCTAGCCAACCAAGCTGAGTGCTCGGGCTTGCATAAATCAGTAGCAAGTTTAATTGATATTAAACTAACCAAGGCAAATGAATAAAAGAATGATCCAACAAACATGCACATTGAGTAGACCCAATTTCCTCCACAATCGACGACATTTCTAATATAAAACATCAAAAAGCAAGAAATAAAATAAATAATCCTCAACTAAGATAAAGTGTACAAGGCTGATAGTTTATCGCTTCTTTGACATCTTTATTACAGAAGCATAAACATCAATGCTACATTTTCCAGATATTTAGCATGCATTAAACCCAAAGAGAATTTTTAAGGGCACAACCTCATGCACTATGCTACATCTTCCTGCTATTTAGCATGCAATGACCCCAAAAAGCATTTTATGGGAACAGCCCCACGCTCTATGCTACATTTTCTTGATATTTAGCATGCATTATCCCCAAAGAGATTTTTATGGACGTAAACTCCTCCAAAGTGCGCTAACATAGTAGCCCTAGAATGCAACCTCTAAGAATATTAAGCAACCTACAAACCAAAAGCTAAATACTATGAACATACAAACAGTAGGTCACATAGTGAAATTACCTTCTTTTCTGTTTTGTCCAAATCTATCATGGCTTGATCAATCTGGGACTGGAGTGTTGGATCCATGCCAATTAATGCTTCAGATATCTTCTCATTGATGTTCTTAACAGCTCTAATAACACTATTTCCAAGATATATCCCCTTGTCCCCATCACGTAATTCAACAGCCTCATACCTGGTACTTTTACTAAATTTTGTTACATACTCTTAAATACTACAATATGAAACTTAACATATGCATTGAGATATCTGATACAGTAACTACATTCATAACTATAAATCACCAAATAAACATAGCAAGAACACAGATAGTGAATATTTCGACATCGCCAACATGAAAAACATGGAAAATTAAACATGCCACGGCTCCGCAAGAAGCGGTCAAGTTAGCATTTTCTTTTCTAATTTTTGTTATCTCTTGTTTACATTAGAATCACTATCTTCCACTACTACCCGCTGTGCTCCTGGATAAAAGGAAAGTCATTGTAATTTTTCTACTTAAGCTCCCCAGATTATGAATAAAGCAGATGATTTTTTACAGCAACATTCAGTGGTAATTCTAGCCCTAAATAGAAGCAAATTCATTTCCAATTCTCTCGGTTCTAATTGTGACCTAACATTTGATATCAAAGTCAGATCTAACAAAGAGATAATTGAACAATTAGAAGCCAGCGTCAGGAGATTGCAAAACAGCTTTAGTCGAATGGAGTTGGGAGTCGCCGATAAGCTTTACCAAATGGAGGATACCCTCATGCAGTTGATGGATACTCTGTTGACAAACCGCGAAGGGTCCAGCAGCAACACCCCAAGTCGGCCCGGACTGACGTGGCCACTCCGCAATGATGGCACCGAAAGAAACGACGAGGGTTGCCAGCCCTTTTTTCTCGAAGCTCGCAAAGCTTGAGTTCCCCATCTTTGCCGATTACACCCAACCGAATGGTTCAGCCGCGTCGAGCAATTCTTCGACTACCACGACATTCCCAACAAGCAGAAGGTTCAGCTAGCTTCTTTCTACCTAGAGGGTGAAGCCAACCAATGATGGCAATAGCTTCATCAGACTTACAGAGAAGAAGGGAAAATGGTGACGTGGATTGGGTTTGAATAAGAAACAAGGGTTTGCTTTGGACCAACTGATTGTGAAGATTTTGATAAAGCCTTGTCCAAGGTAAAATAGATCGGGCCCTTGAGGGAATACCAAAAAGAATTTGAAAAGTTAGGGAATAACGTTTGGGGCTAAACCCAAAAGGCCCTAGTGGGCACCTTTATCAGCGGGCTTAAGCCCGAGATTGCAGAAGGCATCAGGATGTTTTGGCCTAAATCCTTGAAGGAAGCCATCAACTTGGCCTGTATGAGGGAAGAGCAATTGGGCCGGCAGAGGAGATTCATCTGGGTTGGACGCAACCCAATCGCCCCACTCCCAAACAACCCAGAATATGGAAGCTACCCCGCGACGCCTATCATGGGAAGAAATGCAGAGGTGTCGATCGCTCAGCCTCTACTTCAGCTGTGACGATAAATTCACCGCCGGCCACAGATGCCGCCGGCCGCAGCTCCTGCTCCTTGACGGGGCCGAAGAAGAAGGAGATGACGGGTCAAATGCGGGAGAGCCTGAGATTTCCCTTCATGCGCTCATTGGCTGGTCAACGGCCAAAATGATGCGTATAGAGGCAACAATCTGCAGCCACCGTGTCATCGTCCTCATTGATAGCGGCTCAACTCAGAATTTCATCAGTGAACGAGTTGCAAGTATGCTCAAGCTTTCAGTGATTTCGACTCAGCCCTTCTCTATCAAGGTCGCGAGCGACAACCCGATGAGATGTCAATAGCGATTCAAAAACATGTCGGTTCACCTCTAAGGTATCCTCTTTACCCTTACTCTTTATACTTTGCCACTAACGAATCTTGATCTTGTCCTTAGAGTTCAGCGGCTAGAAAAATTAGGGGCAATGGTTTGTAATTCGGGTCAAATGACCATGGAGTTCAAGTGGGATGGACGACTTCGAAGGTTGCGCGAGGTCAACAGCCCACCTATCCAGAGCGCTTCGGCAAAAGTGGTAGCCAAGGAAACCCACCAGAAAACCTCCCTACTTGCCATCCGCGTTCTGGCTGAACCAAGCACTTCCGCAACAACCATCCATCCAGAAATGAAGAGCCTCTTCAACAGCTATCAAGACCTATTTAGATAACCCAACATGCTAGCCACCAAACCGAGAAATCGACCACCATATCAATTTGAAGGAGGGAATAGAGCCGATCAACATACAGCCTTATAGGTACGCCTATTTTTAGAAATCAGAAATTGACAAATAGGTCAATGAGATACTTAATTATGGGTTGATCAAACCAAGCACCAGTCCCTTCTCCTCACATGTGCTGTTAGTAAGAAAAAAAAAATGGAACTTAGAGATTTTGCACAAATTATCAGGCACTCAATTCGGTCATCATTAAACACCAATTCCCCATTCCGACCGTCGATGATATGTTGGATGAACTTCACAGGGTTGCCTTCTTCACAAAACTTGACCTCACAGCAGGTTGACCTCACAACAGGATACCATCAGCTAAGAGTTCATCCTCCTAATGTTCATAAGATGGTCTTCCGCACCCATAACAGCCACTATAAATATCTCGTCATCTACTCTTGAAATGTCAAATATCTCACAAACTCTAGAGCATGATACTCGGACTTATGGGGATCTTTTGGGTAATGGGAAATTCTGTTTATTTCGAACTTCTAGCATGAGAATGTCTTAGAAATAACAACACGCTTAGATTAATCTCTCTAACCATTTTATGGGTTATTTGGAAGGAGAGAAACAACAGGCCTTTTGAGGAGATTGAACAAGATTTTAATAGGATCAAAGATAAATGGTTTCATTATTTTGGTTTTACTGTTTTAGGGCATAATGTAGAATGTTTTGAAGATCTAGGTTTTATTATAGATATGCTAATTGACATGTAAATTTTTTGTAAATTGGTGGTGCTCCCTTAACACCTCACATTAATACATATTCTCTTCTTTTATTTCAAAAAAATATATATATATCTCGTCATGTCATTCAATCTCTGCAATGCTCCGTCCACCTTTCAACCAGCGAACAGCATATTTCGACAACATCTTCATAAGTTCGTTCTAGTTTTTTTTTTTTTTGGACGATATTCTTATCTACAATCCAAGCTGGGCTCTGCACATAGGTCATGTAAAACAGGTTCTTGACATCTTACGGCAACATCACTTCTTTGTTAAGCTAAAAAAATGTGTATTTAGGAAGCAGGAACTGGAATACTTGGGACATATTGTTACTCCCCAAAGAGTTAAAGTTGATTAGAACAAGATTCCAACAATGCTCCAGTGGCCACGCCCCAACAACATCACTGAGTTGAGAGGATTTTTGGGCTTAACCGACCATTATCGGAAATTTGTTCGATACTATAGGATTCTTGCCAGATCCTTAACAAATTTGCTAAAAAAAGAGCAATTTGGGTGGACTGAAGAAGTAGAGGAGGCCTTCAAAAGTCTCAAACATGTTTTGACAACTAACCCCCTTTAGCTCTACCAAATTTTGAAGAACCCTTTGTGATAGAAACGGATGCTTCCGGTGAGAGGATAGGTGTTGTTCTCACTCAACAGGGACAGCCCATAGCATATATGAGTCATGCACTCAGAGTAAACAAGCAAGCTTGGTCAACATATGCTAAGGAGATGTTTACCATTGTAGTTGCCATTAAACTCTGGAGCCCATATTTAATGGGCAGAAAATTCTTCATTCATGCTGATCCGAAAAGTATGAGACATTTGCTCGACAAACGAATCACCACTCCAGAGCAGTAAAAGTGGCTTTCAAACTTATTTGATTATGATTATGAGGTTGTCTACCGACCTGACAGAAAATTCAACCGCCGACGCTCTCTCCTGAAAACTAGGCAATCCAACCTTACAGGCCATTTCCTTCCCAAAAAACAGCATGCAGAACACCATCAAAGAAGCTTCAGCTCACTATCCTTACATGCAGACAGTAACCAAGATAGTTATTGAGACACCAGGGGGCCCTTCTCTTGGAAAAATGGGTTAATTTACTTCAAAACTCGTGTTGTGGGGCCTCCAAAATCTGCTATTTCACAACTGCTACAAGAATTCCACTCTTAGCCCACCGGCGGCCATTCAGGTATCCAACGAACTTATAAATGATTAGCACAACATTTTTTTTGGCTAGCTATGCATCAAGATGTCAAAGAATATGTAGCAGCATGTGATACATGCCAACGAGTCAAAGCTGACACACTCTCCCTTGCCGGCCTCCTCCAACCACTGCCCATTCCATGCCAGATATGAGATTATATTTGTAAAAATATTAAAAATAAGTTATATTTACTGTTACTGCTCACTGTTATTTTATTCTTGTTAGACAATTAATCATCCGTAACAGAATGCTAGCTGTCATTTAGGAGATAAGGTTGTTAATTTGTTTTGTTTTTTCTTTTTGTTTTGCCTATAAAATGAGGCACAAAACCATTGATGAAATAAAATGAAAAAATGAGTTTTTCTTACTCTCAAAATCTTCAATATTTTTATGGACTTTATTACCCTCCTCAAATGGGAAAAAATCAATTTTTGTTGAGGTTGATCGCTTAAGCAAATTTGTCCACTTTATCGCCTTGGCTCATCCGTTTATAACTAAAATAGTGGCTGAAAAATTTGTGGAACAAGTAGTTAAATTAAATGGAATGCCCAAATCAATAGTTAGTGACAGAGACCCGGTCTTCATTAGCCGCTTCTGGCAAGAATTTGTTAAGATGGCCGGCACTTAACTCAAAATGAGCTCCTCCTACCACCCACAAACAAATGGTCAATCCGAAGTTGTGAACCGAAGTCTTGAGCAATATCTCCGATGCCTTTGCCATCAACAACCCCGCAAATGGAGCTCCCTCCTGTCATGGGCAGAATTTTGGTATAACACAAGTTATCACGCGGCAACTAAGATGACACCCTTCCAAGCCTTATATGGACGGCCACCACCAACCATCCTCGTTATCAAGATGGCTCCACCTTTGTTGACGACGTAGACCAGCAACTACATACCAGGGATGCCCTTCTTCGACAATTTAAAGCCAACTTGCAAATAACAAACCATTAATGCCAAACGAAGAGAACTTGAATTTCAAGTAGGTGATTAGGTATTTCTTAAACTTCAGTCATATCGACAGCAAACCGCTTTCAAGAGAGTTTTCCAAAAATTAGCATGCCACTTCAATGGCCCGTATAAGATCTTCCAATGCATCAGAGTAGTCGCTTACAAATTGCAACTACCTAACAACTCCCGTATTCCCCCAGTGTTTCACGTTTCGATGTTAAAAAGGAAAGTCAGTGATTTAATTCCCCCCCATTGGAGACCTGCCTGCCACCAATAACAAAGGCGACATCGTGCTGCAACCAGAGACTATTTTGGATTCCAGATGGATCAAACAAGGATCTAAATTTGTCGAAGAAAGACTAGTAAAATGGAAACATCTACCTCCAGAGGAGGCTACCTGGGAAAACAACCTCGAATTACAAGAAAAGTTCACTCCTCTGAACCTTGAGGATAAGGTTCCACTAAAAGAGGGGGGCATTGATAGGATCAGAAGATCTCTAAGAACACCAGTGAAGAATCCCAGATATTTCGACACTGCCAACATGGAAAACATGGGAAATTAAACACGTCGCAGCTCCACAAGAAGCGGTCAAGTTAGCATCTTCTTTTCTGATTTTTGTTCTCTCTTGTTTATGTCAGAATCACTATCTTTCCGCCACTACCTGCTATGCTCCTGGATAACAGGAAAGCTGCCATAATTTTTTCTATTTAAGCTCCCCAGATTATGAATAAAGCAGATGATTTTTGACAGCAACATTCAGTGGTAATTCTAGCCCTAAATAGAAGCAAGTTCATTTCCGATTCTCTCAGTTCTGACTGGGACCCAACATTGAGACTAATTATGCCGAGAAATCTCCGCTTACTTATTTTTTCTCTCAGCAACCAAACACAACATAATAGAGAACAAGAAAAACAAACAAATAATCCTCACATTCCAGTAGAATCGCCGCTAGGAGCAGAAGCACGAAACATGCCTTTGTTCGTGTACAAATCTACCTCAACAGTTGGTATTCCTCTACTATCGAGAATCTGCCTCGCTTTAATCTTCGTGATCACCGATTGAACCGCTTTCTTCATATGATTAGACTGCAATTCCAAAAAAAAAAAACTTAAAATAACATAAAGAGTCGAAGAAGAAGCTAAGAGAAACATTAGTATATCTCCGAGGAAAAAGAAAACGAAGACTAAGAAAAGTTAAATTAAGCTTGCAAGTTAGATTAACACATTAATTCCGCGGTTTAAAGCATTTTCTCGGGAACCATACAGAGCGAGATTGACGAAAGGGAAATTACAATGAAGAGGACAGGATCAGGAGTTTTAGCCCTAACGGCGGCATTGACAGCATCTTCGATTTTGCGAGAGAGCATGTGGCTGTCCAGATACTCTTGTACCGACATTTCTACTCCTTTTTCCTGTGTCGTCGTCGTCTCCTTCTTCTGCTTCTTCTCTTCTTTAGTATATCAGTTGTGTTCTTCTTTGATACAGCGTCAAGGCTGTCGTTCCTGAGTCACCAGTGATGAATTTATAAAAGATCTTGAGAGGGTGACGCGTGCTCTAATGGAGATGAGAAAGCAACTTCAGTTTCAAACCTCCAGTCGTGCTCCCCATTTCTACTCCCTCCTCTTTATATTTGTCTACAGAGACAACGGTGAAAGAAAACGATGCCGTTGGGATGTAGACATAGTAAAGAGGAGAGAGTACGCGTCCTGGTTTCTTCTAAACGGTGCCGTTTCATTTCATTCTTGCAAGTCCTGGCTTCACGCATTTGGTAAACAAACAATGTCCCGTTTCACGTTTAGGAAAATGAAATGCGTGTCGTTTCGCTAAGCCATGTTTTGCCTCCCATTACTCCAAGAACACAAACAAAGAGTAAAAGATATTCAAACTTATTATTTCTTATAAATGGTAAGTATAACTCGCCCAATTTAACATTTGAAAATGCATATTTAAATTCATACCAAATTCATCTATAAATAAATTATATATTTTGACAATAATGCTAAGTGATAAAGTCTAACCAGTTCTGTAAGTACATAATACATAAAAACTCTTGCTCATGCTACAACAAACGCACTGGATGAACCAGTGAAATGGTGTATAGATCCCAAAAGACCCTTAGAAGCACCAAAATGCCTAATTCTGTACACACCAGAGATGGCAGATTCAGGGATTCTCCATTCAATTGTTGCCTGACTTCGTGGGCTGAGTTTTGAAGGCCTCGACCACTTGAACCGAAGACAGAAATCATCATCATCATAGGCTGGCAACCAAGTATCCTTTCCTTGAAGGAGTTCCACGAGGGCAAATGTACCTTCAGTCATGAGATCATTCCGGGGGCAAGCTGACCAGAAGACAGCAGTCACTTTGTCACCTCTCTTGAAGGTGGAGTTTTGAGGAACATCAGAGCTGACATCTCCGAAATTCACACCAGGAGGGGTCATGTCCAACACAACTGGTGTGAGTAAGCTTATTTGCTTGCTTAGAAGATCCGGAGGTTGAGGCCCCGATTCAACAGCTTGGCCACTGAGGAGAGCATTTGCCAGTTTTGTGAACTCCTGAATGTAGGCGCTAAGGGTATGTGGACCATACAACGTGGATGCACCCTGAGAAATAATTTACAAAAATAAATATAAATTATGAATAAATTTTAAATATCAATAACTACGATAGATAAATAAAAACGAAAGAATAAAATTGACACTATTAACACTAAATAAATGCCTGCTGCTAGGACACATATCTAAAACTCATTCCAATTTCTTATAGCCTGTACAAAAGGGAAAGACATAGGAAATAGTACTTTCAGAGAAATGAAAAATTATCTCTGGCTGTTTCTGCTTCTGATTCTTATTGATTAGGTAAGTTCATAAATAATTTATAGGACAGTTTTGGTGTCTGAGTATCTATGCATATTTTCCCCATTGAATCAAGTACTGACCTCGTATCTCTGCACCTGGTACTCTTCAAAGGTAGTTACATACTGTGAATACGTATTAGTCAGCCCAGCTATAACAACATGAATGTTGCTACCAAATTGTCCATTACCACTGCTTGTCAGCACTGCCTTCACAGCATTACGGAGACGCCTCCCAGCCATTGTTGTAAACTCTGTCAAAGAAATGTTAGAAGTAGAAAAAGAAACGATGAAGAACACGAGATCCAAAATGCATGTCTGTGTATTAAGCCGGTCGTATCTTTCTGGAGTACAAGTTGAGAAAAAAAGGAACATGAATTTTATAATAATTATCTTGATAGAAGAAAAGATAAGGAAATCTTCTACCTCCTGGTACACTGAGAATGACTAGCTGTCCAATTCGAAGGATCTGGACTGGAAGTATTGAAGGCTGTAAAATTATGAACAAAGTGCCCATAAAAAAGAGTTGAAAAATTCTCGAGAAAAGCAAGGGCATACCATAAGTAGCAATTATCTTCAGATTAGCTTATTGACCAAGTAATTGGAAATCTCAAAAACACCCCTCAGTGATGTCGAAGCATATAA